TACAAATATCTTAAATAAATAAATAAATTATGAGAGAGAAGAGATTGTTGCTGGGAACATTCATTTCCCTCCAGCTGTTGGGAGGACTGAAGAAAGTCCAGAAGGAACTAGACTTGAGAGAGGGGTACCAGATAATAGCAGTTTCCCTGCTATTACAGAAGTGTTCTGGTTCCTCTATACCGCTGCATGTGGTACATGTCAATGTCCATAGAGGGGAACCCTAAGTACATACACCTCTGTGAACGGAGATTGCCTTACTTCAGACATTCATGGTGTGGGTCTGAAGGACTGAGGCCACAGGACTGTGTGCTGCCAGGGTGGAGCATGTGGTATGGTCCTGCTGGCCCAACTACATGAAAAACCAGATGACATGAATAAGATGTAGATACATTTTATACAGCAATTTTCTCACCATGAAGTATGGTAGCCCTGATGTTGTGCTGTAGCATGAAGTCCCTTTTGCATATTCTCAGTGCCAACAATAAACAACATAAAACAATGCAAAAGCCTGTGTCCTCTGGCTATACTTGTGTCACAGAACTTTTCAGTTTTACTAACTAGGCAATAGCTATGTATGGTTGGCATATTCTGAGTCAAGAGCAGTTGTCAAAAAGACAGAACATTAACACGGTCAACATAGTAAGACAGTAGCAATAAAATAATCAATATTCAACGATGAAAACATAACTGCATTGGCCGTGCCACACTACAGGGAAAGCCTCCATAAGGAATGTTAAGCATATCTGTAAAGGATGGAACTGCAGTTTAGTGAAGATGGGATACTTTGCTCATATTCTTTACTTGTTAATTTATCTCTCCTGATTACAAAGTAGTCACAGAAATGCAAAGTTTATGGGGAGACTGTGAGATTTCATTAGCATTTTTAGATAGATTATGTTAAAAATACCTTTTTAGCCTGATCCTTGTGCTTCCAACAACTACAAATATACTCTTGGCGAATGGGAAGGAATGACTATTGCATCGCCATAATGCTACACTAGCACATGCCAGCACAGGCTTGGATCAGGATATTACTGGTGAAAGCAGTAGACTTCTGCAGGCTCCTGCCGTGGTCCACATTGCAGCATCCAAGGCATGGAAAATGGGCCACTACCATGCAGCAATACCCTACCTGCCATTGAAAGGGTCATCATGAAGCCCTTTGCCTGATCTATACAGAAGATATATGCACTTCATCACTGGCTTCAAGTTTCCTGTCCTATAGTTGAGTTTTGTAAGTCCACTGACACAGCTGGGTCATGCAGGAACAAGTGAAGGAAGCAGGTAGTGCTTATTTTTCCCAGTTTTTGGGTAAGGGGAAGCCCTGATGCTGATAGAAGGGTTCCAGCTGTGCTGATACAGCAGCACCAGGGATATAATGCTCGAAGCTGCTGCTCAATCTGTGCAGCCTAATTGGGCCAAACAAGTGCAACACACCAGAAATTTCATAGACAAGAAAGAAGGGGCGATATCCAAGAATAGCAACTGAAGATTCCTTGATGATGTAGATTAACATAACTGCCTGTTATTATGTATTCTCCTTGGGGGTCTGACTGTGAGGACTATCATGCCGGAGTCCTTTCTAGTAGAGACAAGTCTGCTATCAAATCTAAGTCTTTAATGGTATATATCTCATTGGATGTTATACTCTGTTGCATAACAGTAAATCTGATCCTTATTGAGCTACCTGAGCCTATGTCTTACTATTAACTCGTTGGTATTGCAAGGATAAGCCTCAAGTATTTTTGGAATGGCACTGTGAACCGAAATGCTGCACAATGAACCACTGAAAAGTGGTACAAAGCAAACCTAGCAACTGGCACATCTTTGAGCACAAGCTTATTGTTGAGTATTTAGTGAGAAAAGAAGATGGGAGTGGCTAATCATTGGTTCATGGAAACTAGATCATTATCAGCAACAAGATTTGCATTGCAAAAAACTCACATGGAAGAATGGGGGAAATGTATGGGAACACTTTATCAACAAATTTGTGTTAAATTGGATGTGTGAACTTGCAAAACAAGGTCAAACTGGGCCCTTGTCTGTCTAACAAGTATCTCCTAGTCTGTCTAGCATCATCTTTATTAAGGGGACAGTCCTGATGACTTGGAGGGGGGACATAATATCCCTCTTTAAGTACCTCAAAGGCTGTCACAAAGAGGAAGGTCAAGATCTCTTCTCGCTGATACCAGAGTGTAGAACATGGAATAATCAAGTCAAGTTGTGACAACCCAGGTTTAGGCTAGATATCAGGAAAAGTTTCCTCACTGTCAGAGCAATATGACAGTGGAACCAGTTACCTAGAGAGGTGGTGGACTCTCCCATGCTAGAGACATTCAAAAAGAAAGAAGACAGCCATCTGAGTGGGATGGTGTAAATTGGTGTCCTGCAATAACAGGGGCTTCATGGCCTTCATGTCCCCTTCCAACTGTACTATTCTATGATTCTGTGCTTCTATGATTACATGCATCCAGTGGCCAGAGTTAGATGCAGCGGTGACCTTCACTGCCGCCGCCACCATGCCTTGTTTAATGCATTCTTTTATTGGATTGGCTCATCCAATAAAAACACATCAGTTTAAGCCACTGGAGATTTTTTTCTTTAACTTTATCATTCCTGATAGTGGTAGTATAGTTTCTAAAAAGTAGCAACAAGAACAGAAAACTCTCCAAGGAAGTTGTTAAGACAATATTAGAAGGCAGAGAAGGAGAGGAGCATGGCAAGCACATTTTTCACCAGGAGCTCGTGTGAACAGGACAAACATTGCCTGGCAGTGACCAAAAAGTATTAAAAGTAGATCTTCCTTAGGAAATTCACGGCTGGGGTGCGAACACAGAAAAGGCCTTCTCTCCACTTGCCTCCCACCAATCCGGCTCTGCAGTTAAAGGCACATGGAATACACCCTCTAGTTGTGATTGCAGCTGCCATACACCTTGTGTTTATTTGTACATTTTATGGGCAGAATGAGCAGGGCCCATAGGTCTGTGCCTGCATCCTTTTGAGAGTAAATTAGTATGGGGAAAGTGGAAGATCAGCACAGTCTCCCCACTGGTCCAGATTAATATAATGAATAATCTTAGACTGAAAGTATCCCCACATTTCTTCTCCAATTTAATTTTTTTGTGTCAGAATTGATGGGCGGAAGGGGAAAAGAGAGGAAGAAACAATGGCAATACAGCAATTGGCAATACAGCCATACTGTCTGATCTCAATTTTATCAGGGTCTTCTCTGAAGGAAGAAGATAGACACAGTGCAAGAATAAAATGCTACAGCTGTGTCCACAGCAACACCCACAATGTCAGACAATGGCTGGTGCCTTTTGAGTGCCAAGAAGCAAGTGACACAACAATGGAAAAGGGACGGCAGCACACTGGAGTCGCTGACAATTCATCAATCTTTTAAGATGCGTTATTCATTTTAGGGCAGCTGTAAATCAGTATCTGAATGCCAAGTAGTGAACTTAAGCCCTTTGGGATCAACATTCAAGTTTTAGTATCTCATTAAAAGCACAACATGCAGTTCAAAGGCCAATGAAGTGAGGAGCAGAGGGCTCTCACTGCTATATGTGGGTGAAACGTTTTAGCAAAAAAAAAAAAACTCTTTCCACCTAAGAGCAAGTGCAGTTGGTTGGACTCCTGGCCCTTAGTTGCAAGGAACATTACACAGTTATTCTAAGGTAAGAGCATTCGAGGCTGTTCCACAAATATTCGATTTTAAAAATGTACCTGTAAAAATGAAAGGTTGAACAGGGCAATTGTATTTGCAAAAATTGTGTGCAGAAGTGTACATGGGTCCTTGGCAGGGAGCTTGGATTGGCTCCTGCAGCTTCCTGGTGAACTTGACCATGAAGCTCACTGGGAGAATTTGAAGCAGTCCGAAATCTCAACTTATCCTATCTTACAGAGTTGTGAAGATAGAATGGAAAGGAAGAGGATCATGAATCCTTCCTGGGTCCCTTGCAAAAGGAAAAAAGAAGGGATAGAAATGAAGCAATAAAGAAATGAACAATCTTTAGCAAGCAGCAAACATAGGTTTGCCATTGTGTAATTTAAATTGTATGTGTATTATCTAATTTATTTTAAGTATGTCAGTTTCATGCTCAGTTCTTGGTATAGCTAATTTATTTTGTTTAGGATTTATAATATTCTGTAAGCCATCCAGAGACAACAGTGATAGATGGCCTATAAATTCCATAAATAAATAAATAGGTGATGCTTGCTACACAATAGCTACACAATAGCTGCACAAATAGAATCTTGATTTTTATTTAGAATTGTATATGAATGTGGGCATTCACATCTGTGCTGCTGATTTGTGGCACTGAATATGATAATATCATATCCTTGAAATTACATCAAACCAATGTAACTATCATGGCTTTCCCCAAAGAGCTTGGGTACTGTGATTCTCTCAGGATGCTCAGGACATGTGATTAAAGCTTCTAGTAGATATATGCTTTAATTCATCTTAAGCTGTTGCCAAAGCTGGTGTTTCTTGTGACAACAGGGGTTTTTTGTGTGTTTATTAATATTTAGCAACTTTGTTAGGTTCTTTCTTTCTGCTTTTCTTCTCTTGCCAGACACTTTTTCAAATAATAAATAGACTTACAGACCCACATCCGGTGTACAAGCATAAAAGAGTCCTAACACAGAAAGGGTGGATAGCAGTCTTATTGAGCCAAGAGTTCAAGGCAGCCATAAAAAACACAAAGCATCCTTTTGTTTGAATGGGAGTTCTGAATGAGAAATGACTGTGAAGGACAACACTTTCCAAACTTGTAAAGTTTTATTCTTGCATCTATAATGTTTGACCCACTTGATAAAAACATAATGAAATGTCAAGCTAGGAAGTTAATTACTGTACTGTTATCAGAAGGTAAAAGCATCACAAATTACTTTCAGTGATCATAAATAAAAGTAACATAAACATTTCAGATTGCAATGATATGCAGAAATGAAAAGTGCTTTCTAAAATTCTGAATAGGGAAAATAATATATTTAATGTTTTGAGTTGCTTCATATCCATTGAATAAAGTTTAAACATTATTAAGAAAGTGTTTTTTTTTAAAGTCCAAACACTAATACAGTTTCATGGAAGCTTCAAACAAGGCAAATAACTCCTCTTCAGTTTGGGGACGTGGAGATAACTTAGTCACTCTTTCCTTTAAAGAAGAAAGAAAACCCAAATTATGTAAAGACTTAGGCAACTATCTGTGCTTGTGTTGCATACATGTCAATTAGTAGTGGAATATCTCTTACAAATTAAATATTGATTGAAGTGGGTACCTTGTAAAGCAATCCTAAGGAAATATATTTGGTTACTATGCAAATGTGTTTTTCGTAATTCTGCAATCTTACACCTTTGTTTGGAGTAAAGCTCATTGAGTTCAAGGCAACAAAGAACAAGGGTAGAAGCTGAGGACACTGGAAGCAGCAAGGTGAGGAGATGGGGAGAGAAATAATGAAGCTAGAGGTGGCGGGGGAGGGGAAACAGCAAGACAAAGTTGAAGAAGGGAGAGAAAGAGCAAGGATAGAGGATAAACAGGTAGAGAGAGAATGTTATCCAAACATTTTCCAAGATTTTGAATAATACATACCTCTCTATGTGTGTGTACATAGATATATTTAAAGGGTACAGGGAATAGTGAACTTTATGGGTGCTACTGGAGGTCCTCAAGAGTGCTGGGGACCCTGCTTTATCTCAACCTAAGGAAACCCCAAAGAACTCCTTGGATCCTGCCCCAAACTAGCAGTACTGTACTCTAGTCAACAGATCTGACTAGTATAGAGAGAAGCCAAGGTTTCCAACAATATAGTACAGCAGGGAATCTCTATTCCTCCAGTTGTTCTTGACTGCAACTCCTATCAGCACCAACCAGCATAATTAATTGTCAGGAAAGATAGGAGATCTAGCCCAACATCCCTTTCTTAACTGCTGTAAGCTAATGAGATCCCCCACCCCACTAGTTTGAGGATCCAGGACAGTAGCCATGGGACAACTCTCTTTCAAACATAAGATAATAAAGGCATAATCCTATGTATATTTAGTCAGAAAAAAACCCCTAAACTCCCATCATTCCCCATGATGGCAGTTGTACTACTTTTTCATAGCTGGATGGGGAATGCTGGGTGTTTTGGGCCATTTTTCTGTCTAAACATGTGTAGAATTGCACACAAATACCATTTTTCATTAGACTTTTCTTTTTAAGGAATATACAAAGTAATACACACACACACAAATCACAAAATACTTCCATCTTCTACTAAGAGTGCTCTGCACAGCACAAGAATATTGACTAGTATATCTTCCACTTGCTTCTTATTGTTTTCTGCCAAAAGAGCAACAAAGATAAGAAAGGAAAATGATAAAGGGAAATGCTTTTGCCATCCTGCCTACCTGAGGTAGGGTGCCTTTGACTAAGGCAGGGATATCATCTTTAGAATAACCAAGAGCAGCTAAGCCATCATCAACATTCAGATCAAACAAAAATTTCCGGAGAACGTCTGCCAAAATAAACCCCGCATCTTTTCTTTTGGCCATACTGATGTCGGCTCCTAAAATAAGAGAGAAGACTTTGAGCAAGTAAAGAAGAAATCTCCTCTGACAGAATTCTTCTGACATTTCTACTCTTACCTGCTGTTTTATCAGTATTTGGGTGGTAAGGGTGGTGGAGAAGCCAGAAGAGCTGTGAGTGAGCGAGCGAGCGAGCGCCATGAGTCAAAGGGGTGCAGCCTCACTAAGCATTTCATTCTGTTTTTGCAGAGTAGCACTTAGGATGGCTATGTCTGTCACAGTTCTCACAGGAGCTGCAGGCTCATTGCAATGGGCCAGGATGTTGGACTTCTTTTAGCCCAGGAGCCAATCTCCATATCAGAGAAGCTCTAGGGGCTGCACTGTGGTTGTGCAGCGCAGGTTTTAAAGGGACCCTTTAGCAATGCATCCTTAGTGGGCTCCTTCCCTCAGTGCCTTTAACTTTTCACCTCCATTGACATCTACTGCTATTGCTCCTCATCCTTCTCACTATGTCCACCAATTGGGCTGGGGCAAGAGGCAGGTGAATAAGCAAGTTGGCGTGGTGAAAAGGAGCAATTCTGGGGGGCTCTTGTCAGTTGGTCTGCTCTGAGGTATGGGGTCTGAGCAGATGATCACCTCGTCTACCCTTGACGCTGGCCCTGTGGTCAAGGGTAGGATAAAGACAAATGAGTGGGACCAAAAATACCAGCACCTTCCACAGAAAGCTCCTCCTGCCAGAGCAGACCTTGCTCTTGCTCACATTGATTCTTCTGATGTGCACAGGTCCAGCTGGCAGGCAAGAAGGCACAGTACACTGGAGGCCACTGCAGCCAAGCAATGGAAGAGGGGAGCTGGTGTGCATGTGTGTCATCAACACTGATCACTATCCCATGTGAGAAGAATGAGACATTGCCTGCTTTTAAGGGATGCATCAACAAATTACCTAAAAAATTGGGTGTACAAACTTTGGCATGTATAGCTTGTCAGTCAACCTGAGTTATTGACTAACAGTCCAGAGGATAGTGTGGCATTACCCTATACCTGAGGGACTGTACTTTCCTGAAGTTTCTCTCTCATCATCGGTCAGCTTGCAGTGCAAGAACAGACTGTGCCTACCCACTGGAGGAAATGTTTCTCTGTGCTGTGGAGAGGGGAATGAAATGTATATTTTTTAAGTCAACAAAGCCTCCTGATGCAAGTTACAGAAACCTCAGGTGGGCAAATGCTCTCCAGAATTTGGACCTGCAACTTCCATTGCCAATGGTGAAAAAGAGAACATGAAAGCTGCATGCCAGAACAGCTGGAGGGCCACATTCCTGTTCTAAACAATGCTGTTGTTTAAATGCATTGACATTTTATGCAGTTACTGAGCCTAGAAGGGCTGAAAGTTGCTTTATCCATCATCTTCACGAAAAATGTGTGTGTTTGTTTTTGGTACTCTTATATTTCATCAACAAATCATACCCATTATCTGGGCAGCCTCCAGGTGACGCTCAGGGCACATTGGTGCTGTGAAAGTGAACACTGCTGGGGATGTGAGGACAACAGAAAGACCATGTGGCTGGAGGAAAGCAAAGCACATCACACATTAGTCAGACAAAGGTCAGCCCTGCGTGCCATGACAACCCTTCCTGCAAATAATCTATGCAGGGTGGCTTGTTTGTGAAACAATCCATGGCACACCTACAGACAATTTGGTTCATCTTAGGTTTCCCTCCCATTTTCCCTTGGTCCTGCTGTGGATATCCCAAGGGACTTCACAGCAAGAACAACTTATCTCCCCCCTGCACTACCGCACCCCCCTCACTCACTATGGCTCCTTTTCCCTTCCCCACATTTTTCCCAGCGATAACTTTCCCAGTCTTTAGTTTGATAGCTAGTAGCAGCTCCTTCAAAGTGCCCAAGTGGTATGTTGAAGTGGCTGTCCCTAATTCACCACCCATCTTTTTTTTTTAATAAAGTGCAAGGAATTTGCACATAGATTTTCTTCTATTTTCAGTTGGTCTTGTATGAGAACACACATGTGTGCCCTTGTGTGGGTATGAAATGGAAATCCATTCAGCAAGATTTTAGGCACTGAGGAAAGTGGAAAAATGCAACCCACCATTTTTATAAGAGCACAGAACTTTGATAGTTGTCAAAACTGTGTTTTGGTTTTTTTTTCCTTTTAAAAGGGGTTTGGGGTTTGGACAGGTTTATTTAGGATATTTTTGGCAGGGACATGTTCATACTTTCCTGAGCATTTAGAATCTTAGGAAAGGGTAGAAGAGTGTGAGGAAAGAAAAAGTTAAAGGATCTTGCCATGAAGGGGGAGATCTACTGGCCACTTATTTTCATGAGTGTTCACTCATGGTTTTGGCTTCTCTTAACATCTTCCCTTTTGACAGCTGTCAAGAGAAAGCAAGATGATAAATTCAGCAGGTGTGCACTTGCTGAAGCCTGTCTAAAAATAATGAAAACAATATGTAAAAAATGTTTAGCACTTTGGAGGGGCTGTCACTAGTTGACAAATTGAAGATTACAAAAAGTGATCACCAAACAGGGGAGGGGAGAAGGGGGAAGGAAGAGGAGGAAAAACTGTGGCAAGCTCAAAAGGATTTGCAATCATGATGGGAGTTACTAAGCCAGTGACAGTTGTTTCATGAAGTGGCCTGGACTAGCCCAGCTAGAGAAGCAAGGTGGGAATGTTGCTCCTGCTGAACAGCTCACTAGCTGTACCTTACAATGGGGTTCAGGAAATGCGACAACCCACTGTAGATCCAACAACCCCAGCAACAAACTATGGATTGTCTGCATCATTTGTTTCCCCAAAACAAATCGCTCTGTGGGAATTGGTTGGGTTCCATGACATGACAAGCCATCCTGACTTGTCTCTCAGAATTGGTTGCCATGTGTGTGAACCCTATCATAGTATATTATTATGATAAAACACTGGGAAAATGCATTTGAGGGTAACAGCAATGTTATCATGTAATTATAGGCAAATGACTAACAAATGTATTAAGTCGTTACCACTAAAGAATGATCCACATGATAATCCTTTGCTTTATAATTCTTCACCAAACCAGAAATAGGATAAGACATGCCATGGCTAAAGAGAGGAGAAAAGTCTTAGTTTTAATGGTAAACATGTAGATGAATACATAAATCCCCAAACAACTAGATAAGACACATGCTGATAACAGTATAACAGAACAGAGAAAGTGCAGCAGATTGTTGGTAGATCTGTAAATGTCTGAGTCCTCAGTTGGTATTAGCTCATGCTTAGATTGCATGTGGTAAATAGCATCCTTGTAATACTACTGCATGTAAAAATGAAGTGTGGGGTCCCTGATCCAGAATTCTTCATGAAATGCAACGTGATATATGTGAAAACCAAATATACATGCTTCACAGTTGGCCCATTTACCTCAGCATAGGTGTGTATGGCCTCAAGTTAGATTTGGATCATGGCAATCAAGAAGGGAAGTTTTAAACATACTTCCTGCTATTTTTGCCAAGAAAGGTAGCTTACAAATATTTGAAATAAATAAAAAATATTGCCATTTGCATCTGGATGCAGAAATAGATACCTCTATCTTATTTATGCTGCCAGCAAATAGCCCATCTGAGCAACACTCTTTTTCACATTTATTTTATGTCTTTATGTCATTGATCATTCAAAAGTAACATTTGGATTCAACTCACCAAAGATGAACACCAGCATTTCCAAACCCAATACCAGCAAAAGAACTTGCTAGATGCATATTAGCCCTTGCTTCCTGATCATCTGGGCTCTTGATGGCTCTGTCCATTGGGCAAACATTGTATTCAAATGCATGTATATAGAAAAGGCAAATTGTATTGTAGCATGTGAGATGCTCATTGGTTTCCTAGGAAACAAACACCCTGGGTGGGGAAGGGTTATACAGACTTTGCAGGAGGACAATCCCAGACTCAATTTCATCTTCTCTAGATAAATATTCAGGCAGTGGGCTTTGGGAAAGTCCTCTCTCTGATTGTGTTCTGACAATCCAGTAACCCACACTCAAGGGTGGATTATGGGTTGAGTGTGGGTTGTTCCTGAAACATGGGTTATCATCTTGTCTGAAACTAGCCTAGATAACAAACCATGGAGAATGTCTACAGTTCACAACCCAACAATAACAGCTGGGAGAATGGCTGCCAGTTAGAGGAAACTAGCCTTCTCCCACCTGGTGCCCTCCAGATGGTTTGGACTGCAGCTCCCAGCATTCTTGACCATAAGTCACACTACCTGGGACTGATGGAAACTCAAGTCCAAAATAACTGAAGGGCAGATAGCTGCAGCAGACAATGCTGTGCCAGATGGAAAATAGTCTGGGTGACAGATGCATGAAGATAGCGAGCTTCCACCTTCTTTGATCAGAGAAGACCATGTCTTATGTGATGCAGACTTTGGGCCTTTGCTCCCTGGTTTGGATACAATTGCAGAAGTTTTTGGAAATCACAAAGAAGCACAAACCAGCACATTCACATTCTGAGTTTCCTTGAAAGCAGGAAAGGCCATGGCCTTACCAATGTCAGTGTTCAAAATCCACTGTTGTAGGAGAAGCTACCTCTTTAGAAGCCACTGAAACTGGTGGAAGCACAAAATGCTATGATTTTCGGCACATAATACCCAGTTCATGTGTCCTATAGTTATTAGTTTTATACGATAACTGAGACCTCAGTTATGCCATATCAATTTCACATGTCCAAGTAGCTTATCTAATCTATATATGTGAAGGAATATAGCAACACTGTGTTAGAGGCATTATGATTCTTTTTTCCATTACTTTGCCAAGGGCCCACACCCTCGCAGATGCCCCCTGACAAGAGCTCCTGCAACTGGTTTGTCCATCTTCCTCTTACGCTAGTTGTGATGGAGAGAAGCAGAAGATGCCACTGCCAGCTTCTCAAGGGCTTTCAAGGATGAAAAAGAGAAGATGGTAAGCAGGGTGGCAACTGTGCTGAGAAGGTAGACTAACTGAGGAAGGGTGGCACTGGTGGTGTTTTGGCCAAGGGGCCCTCAAAACCTGGAGCTGGCACCGACAACTCCCATCATTCAAGCTAGCCAAGCCAACCGTGAGGCAGCGGGGACTGTGGTTAATCACATCTGCATGGCTTCATGTTGGGGAAGATTGCCTTCCTATAAGAAAGGCAATTAAGAGCTAGGTGGGACTGTAAAGACTAGCAAATATATTTTGGCATAAGATAATGTTTCTGACAAAGTGGGTAGTATCCATGAAGTTATTATGCCAAAATAAGTCTGTTAGACTTTAAAAAACCACAAACTTCTTCACTGTTTTTGTTGCAACAGACCAGCATAGCTGCTCTTCTGAAAGCACTAAACTCTTTCATCCACTGATTTTCATTTGTATAATGTGACAGGATAATTTTTAACAGAAGGACTGGAAAGTCATTAGAAAAACCTTACCTCTTTAAATATTTGGCAACAATCCGTAAGGCATGGATGGCCCAGATGTCACTGATAGGGTTACTTCCTTGGTAAGCTGGCCTGTTTATTGGATTTGAAGGGCATGGGCTGCGCTGATGGTAGGGAAGAGCAGTGTACGATTCAAGTGCATGGCTGGCAGGTTGGCCGGGAAGCAGAAAGACATACAACACTTATATTGGCAGCTGATCTTCCAACTGGTTTAAATATTTATGGCTGTTACTTTGAGGGATGGGGCAGTGCCTCATCCTCCAGAATGTTTAATTAGAGGCTGGCTCCTTGAACAAGACCTTTCTCAAGCAGACTGCACTGAGAAGAAGAGACATTCACAAGTGAGCTCTGAATTTCCAGCTCCAAAGGTGATGTAACATTTCCATTTCCAGCTGATGCAACATTTTCTGGTTTCACTTATTCAGTATCTGATGGTGGACTTCCAATTTATAAAGTGTTTGAGGCTGTGTTTCATTCAGATAATAAAGCATAAGTATTCAATTTTCTTCTAATTTGGTTTAGGGTGCACACAAATAAAGCCTCCTTAGTTATCTCACACTGTACTAAAGGACTTGTGTCAGGCCAACAATGTAACGTGCAAATGTTACTGAAGGCATTACTATGCAATCCTCCCCAAACTGGTGTACCTCTATAGGGGCTGGACTGAAATACCCATAAGTCCCAGTAGCCATGCCACTTGGGAAGTCTGGGAGTTTCAGCCCAACATTGGGGGGCACTAGGTTGAGGAAGTCTGTTCATACCGACAGCTAGTAATTCAGGAAAAAATGAGAACTTTTTTCTTTTTTAAAACACATTATTAATGGGCAGCATTAACCCCAAATTATTCTGGAAATTGTAATTTGGTGAGACTGTTGAAAATGATCTGTTAGAAGTCCTTAGCCTTCTCAGAGTTCCACAGGAAGAGAGAACGACCATTAATCCAATTTAAGTTTGTAATATGGATGGCTGGGGAGGGGTGTGTACAGTTGCAGAAAAAAGACAAATAGATTAGTTGAAAAGTGGGATCTTAAGCCAGCCTGTCATTCTTTCTCTACCATATTTATTTTATAAAACACTCATCAACACAGTAGGCCAAAGAATATTAAAATGTCTTCAAAATACAGTCTGTATTGTAGCTAAAAGAAACTTACCAAAGCACATCAAAGCCACTATTAGCTGTCACCCGCTCAGGCATATGGAGAGTATGTAAAGGGTCAATTATGCCCAAAGTGGGCTTAATGGCTCTAGAAGCAATACCTAGACATAGAAATCATATAAATTATGTATCTGGAAAAATGGACCCACTAAACAATTTTTGCAAAAATGTAAACATTGCATAAAAACACTGACCTTACAAAGTTAGAGTTTCAGGAGATTGCCATTGAAAGAAAAAAAGGGGAAAATTTTACATACATGTACCTGCTTCAGTAAGGACTTGTTAGATGCATTCCAGCAAGATTGTTCCGAAAATACAGGTGTTTGCTCTGGTAAAGTAATCTAGGTGGTTGATCCAGTATCTTATGTTGCTCTGAAGTCTGGTAGGAGGGCTAAAATCTGTCACATTCCCAGCTTCCCAAGAATATCATCACTGGCAAGAAGATGAGCCCAGTTTTCCCCCTTCTAGCTAGAAAGGAAATTTTGCTCCAATAGCCAGTTGCCCTAGAACTGCAGAGCCAAAATTCAGAGTTTTCCTACATAAGGCATTCTAGGTTCCTTAAAAAAGAGACTCACACTGGACAACACGAATTTTCTGGCTGGGACACGTATAGCCATATGTGCCAGTCAAAATGCACCCATTGCCCTGTCAGAATGCCCTTTTTAATGGGACCCAGAGTTTTGACAACTATCAAAAATTACTCTGCCCCTAAAAAAACAAAAACAAAAAAGAGAGGCGCACATTTGTACTTACCCAAGTACTTAGAGACTTGGGATGAAATTTAAAATGTGCTCCAAGATGGGCACTCATGGTGGGAGGAAGAAGAGGATCTCTGCATCAAGGCTGGGTAAATAACCCCTCTCCCCAAAGAAAAATCTTTTTGCCTGCCAAGTTCCCTCATGCTCATGCTTTCTTCTGACAATTCATCTTTTGCCAACTATCAAGAGAAACCAAAAGCTGGGGGGGGGGGGTAAAAAAAATTGGAGCCTCCTGTTGGACTGATAACTGCTGCATCTTGACCCAGCTGAGGCTTCAAATCCTCATAGTTACACACTGTGAACGTTCACAATTGTGCAACTTTGCCCTTTTTTAAGTAAAAGTGGGTACAACATTTTTGTGCAAGCTTCTGCCAGTCACATACAACCCTGCCAAGGTATGGCTTGGGCACTTTGAAAGAGCTGTCCACAGTTGCCAAAATGGGAACTGCAAAAGCCTGTTATGAAGCTGACTTGTGATCTCCACAAAGAAAGTACAAAGAAACTGCAGACTGTGGCAGGGAGAAGATGAGACAACTTGGTCCTTCCACAGTATCTCCATGGATACCACCTGGAGGACTGAAGGAGAGAGAAGGAAGGAAGGAGTAAATGACTCATTGTGAGCCATATAGTCTCAGTCATGGGTTAGGCACACTGTGGGTTGTTATTACGTGCAAAGTGGGTCACAGATTTTCATAAAATGGAAATCAGAGAAAGCTAAAAAAGAAAGGAACTAATATAAGAACCACAAAATATGTGTACAGTCTTTACCTGTTTTTACTTTTAGATCTTTATAATCAAAAATAGCAACTCCAGTGGTTTCACTTCCAGTTCCAGAAGTTGTAGGAACTATGAAAAATAGCAGATTAAATATGTTAGCACATGAACAATATTTTAAATCAACCTAAATACTAACTTGATGGGCAGCAAAACAGGTTAAGGACTTTTTGTTGGTTTCAGAGTCAGTTGCCATTTCTTCCTCATCACATGGTGTTGGCCTGAGGAGGGATTCTAGAAGAAAAATGACAGCAGGTGGAAAGAGCCTCACCACTGCCAAACAGGTGGTAGTACAAAAGTGAGTAAATGAATAGGGCTGATGTTCAGTCCCCGCTTTGCATCATGGTTAAAATATATAAACTTACTAAAAATTAAAGTCACACATTATTAATTTAGCAGAGTCTCCAGCCCTGCACTCTAATTCTTCATCTATGAGTTAGAATGTCTTATATAAATTCCCTCCAAACTTTTTGGGTCAGTGGACATGTCTGGAATTTTGAAGGACTGTTGTGGGCATTCTCATAAAATAGTTGCCCAGAGTGTGGCTAGCCAATTAATAAAATGGCTGCTATATGTGCAGGGTACATGCTCGGTTATAAAACATGCATTTCCTTGGTAGCAAGGACTTTTAACACAAGTTAGAAGTGGAATTCTGAGCTCCAAAACACTCAAATAAAGATGCTGCTGGATGGTGGCACTTCATTTCGCAGCTTGCTGAGAAAAATCTTAATAGAAGAAAAAATTGGAAAGGAACAATCTTAGAAAAATAAAAATCAGAAGGCACAGGAAGCCTGGCAGGTACCAAGAGAAATACCTGTGTGCAAACTAATGTCCATAGGCACCATACTGGACCCAGGGACTAAGCCAATTTACAGTATGAAAACTGAAAATTCAAAAGCATCACACAAAGGTTGTCATTTCATGATTGCACATAAAAAATAAATTTTCTTACCTGCAATCAGAGGCTTGAGAGTAACTTTAATAGGCTTGCCTTTTCCAATGGGAGCATTGACATGATCTAAGAATTCTGACTCTGGACTAGATGTGTAGAGATTGGCAGTTTTGCAGGTGTCTATGACTGAACCTCCACCTATGGCAACATAGGCATCAAACTCCCCCTTTTTAGCAAACTCGATGGCATCCATGAAACTTGGGAAGAAAAGACACTTTGATCATACCCCTTTCTAAACCACAGTGCACAGTATCTTCAGGTATTTAAAACCAAACAGGTGCAAATTAAATTTCAAAAAGCATATGGAGCTTGCCGTTCAGATCTCAGCTCTGTATGGCCAATGACCCTGATCCAAAGCCTCTTCCAGCCTCCATGGTTATGCATATGGAGAGAGGAAATGGATTCAGACTGTCCATTAATGTTTATTTCCTGGGTTATTGATGAAGGTGCTAGTCCCTGTTGAGCAAGTGGTTGGTCCTTCAAGTGCAGTGGACTCAGTGAGAGTACAGCAGGCTGTACCCAGGAGGGAATGACTGGCTGGACAGATTTCCTGTTTCTCCCTGTACCCACCCTCTGGGGACCCTCCAGAGCAGATGTGAAGCAAAGATGTGTGTGTGGTGGGCGGGGGAGATGATGGAGCAGTCCTACTGTATCATTTCCACTTCCATGTTGATTGAATGGAATCCTTAGATTTTATTTTGCAGGAGCCCAGGCATTAATATATTTCCCATCTTAAACTCTTCTTGTGGAACTTAGAAGTGCTAAATGGCAGCTTACACCAACCTTTGGTCTGTTGGCTCCACTCTTACATTGTCATAGATGTGGAAGTTTATATTATTTGTTGTTAGGGAATCCAATACTGCTTTCATGGGAGGGAGCTGAGAAAGGTTCTTATCTGTCATCACACAAACCTTTCTAGCACCCAAGTTTTGCAGATCCTACAGTGAGGAAAAAGTAGTTAAAACAAAGGGCAGGGGTGTGGGGAAAGACAGAGGAAAACATTGCAAAAGGATCAAAAATATTTCATCAATTTGTCAGCTGGCTGCCCACTGTGAGTCTCTCCACCTGTTCCTACACCTCACTTTTACAAATTTGGTAAGTCTGATTTGTTTGCGGAACCCATGTATGCATTGCTGTAATTGGAATGGGACAAGTTTGTTCATTTTTATGTTAATTATAGACACAATTTCTGTATGAAGATGGTCCATTGCAGAAGACTGCCTTCTCCTAATGGTATCTATCTGTCGTGAGGCTGTAACTCACGTCTCCGATTAACTCACACAGCAGCCGTCCATAAAACTAAAGACTTTTATTGCTACTTTCTACAAGATTTACGATGCAACAGATAAGCTCTAGTGGAGAGCTCCTTGCAACACAGTTGCCCCCTCCTTTCTGAACTATCTGAGAAGTTCACGTGGGATTAGATTTTCCTGTCACGTCTTTCCGTTCGTGGGTGGGACAAACCTCTGCCTTGTCGTCACAATTAGTCCAGACGCAATTGATCTAAATGCCTTAAACTCCGCCTAAGTTGGGCATTTCCCAGATTTACTGTTATGTCTTCCTGTTCTCCTGAACTCTGCCCAGAGGCTTCAGAGTCAGGAGGTGGGGGGGGGGGCAACTTGTTCAAGCACCTCAGAGTCAGGATGAGGAGAAGTTACTCATTCGGAAGCCTCATGGTCAGGCTGTGGGAAGGTTATTTGCTCAGAAGCCAAAGAGTTAGGCTGTGTGTGTGTGTGTGTGGGGGGGGGGGCTATTTGCTCAGCAGTCCCAGAGTCAGGCTGCAGAGGGGCCATTTGGGCACTAGGCCCCAAGTATAAGTGCCCTTGTTCCAATGACTGATTCTCACTGTGAACGTTTGACTCTTTCTCGCTAGTTGACGTCTCTGTCGAGCCGTCAGGCACGACATCATCTGAACTTTCAGAAGTGCTTCTCTGAGTGTTCCTGCTCAGTGAAGTAAGGCAGGTGACTACCAGGAAGAGGGTCATTTTGGTGGCACTCCCCAGTTATGGAAGAACTATCCTAGAGAGATTTGTCTGGCACCAACCTTTTGATCTTTACAGAACCAAGTGAAAGACTTTCTGTTCACCTAGGCCTTTTAAATAACGCACCTTAAGTTTGGGCCTCTCCATTTGAAAGCCTGTGTTTATAATTTTACAGTAATTGTGAGCTTTGTTTCTTGTTGCATTTTATGTTGCTTTCTGTGTTATCAAGAGAGGTATTACTACCACTCTACACAACCCTAGTGTGCCCGCAACTGGAGTATTGTGCTCAGTTTTGGGCCCCTCATTACAGAAAGGATATAGCCAGGTTGGAGTCAGTGCAGCGTAGGGCCACAAGGTTGGTGGCCGGTTTGCAGGGGATGGGGTATGAGGCGAGACTGAGGGAACTGGGTCTCTTCAGCCTGGAGAAGAGGAGACTCAGAGGGGATCTGTTGGCGACATACAGGTATGTGAGGGGGTGTCACATGGAGGTGGGTAGAGGCCTGTTCTCCCCTGCAGAGGAAGGCAGGATGCGCTCCAACGGAGCAAAGCTCAGGGAGCCAAGGTTTCATTTGGATGCCAGGAAGCACTTCCTGACAGTTGGGACCCCGAGGGTGTGGAATGGGCTTCCACGAGAGGTCATTGAGGCCCCATCGGTGCAGGTGTTCAAGGATAGGCTGGACGTCCACATGGTGGGCATGTCGTGAGCAGAGCCATCTGGTGCCGGAGGTCAGACTAGGTGGCCCAGGGGACCCCTTCTGACTCGCTTTGTTTTCTATGCTTCTATGTTTCTATTTGTATCTAAATTACATTTTTGTTAATGTATTGAAAGCTGTCAAGAAAATGTTGTGTTAGGGTGTAAAGCATACAAATATGACAGACAGAAAAGCAAACAGCAAATAATTAAACTTTGCACTAAAATGTTGCAGTATGGAGTGTGTAATTCAGGCTTCTAGACATTCCATTATGTTTCCCTGTCTTCCTTTTTTTTTTTTTTTGTCTTTTCCTCTGTCCTCCTGAACAGAGAATCAGTGTTCTGTGCCCTCATTGAGCAGTAACTGGGGTCCCTTTCCCCTCAGGATTTTTTGTACCTTTGCAAACACTAGAATATCTTCAATGGAATTCTGCCAAAAGCTCCCTCTTGTGCATTCTTGGTGCTATTTGGGTGTGTGAGGGTGTGGGTGTGAGGGTTTGGGTGTGTATAGCTACTGTGTATGATGTAGCTATACACAGTACTTATCTTTCTGGTGGTAATACTACAGAAACCTGATGGTTGATATAGCCTCATCTTAAGCTCTTCTTTGCTGAAGCAGCCAGCTTTAGAATTCCAACTTATACTTTCTCTTATGTAGCTGCAACAATGAAAAGTATTCATAATGTGTGTGTGTGTGTGTGTTTAATCAATTAATGGCTCTTATGGAAATACGGGAATACTAGTTTACCATGCCCACTTCTTTCGTAACTCCCTTTCCATAACGGATGCTGGAAACAGCCATCTGGAAAAGTCAAGAAAGATTACATTTCAGAAAATTAAGCATACAAAAGTTACTTTTTAAGCATAATCAAAGTGCACATTATATTCTAGAAGCAGTAGTCTTAAAATGAACACTCAATCATTTTTATTTTTTCGAGTGCACTTATTCATCCGATTTACCTCAAAGGCATAGTCTGTTTTCCTCAAAGCAGCACGTTCAGTACCTGGAACAGAAATACGGAATTTAGCAATCTTAGAATGGGCAGGAAAACAAATCTTTGCTTATGTTTCCAAGAAACTCAGATTGAAGGCATGTTTTGCTTTGAAAGTGTTAACATGATCTGTCTGTCTGTCTGTCTGTCTGTCTTTCATATTTTGCTCAGAAAGATTTACTTGCTTGCTGCAAATAGTATTCCATAAATTCCATTACTGTAATGGAAACTGTGGCAACCAGCTATATATCTGTCCACATGAACAGCATCTCTATATCAGTACAGCTTTGCTGTGACACTGTCCACCACAACACATTCTCCTGATTACACTGGAACAACTTTCATGTACAAATTGGCCCTTCATAAACCTTATCAATTGGGTAGTTTTTGTTTTTTAAAAATAAGCAAATTGTAGTTGTGGTGGTGCTCAGTACTGTCATAATGAAATATACCTTTTCTTGATTCCAGGAATTTGTGTCCTGTGTTTTAGACAAAACCAGCTTGCTTAAAAACTGGATTTGGAACAAAGGGGTAAAGATAGGAAACTATGTTATCAGTTTGTCATTTAAGGGTTCTGTAATAAAAAGCTCAGACTATCTGAAATCCAGTGAATACAGCTCTCCTCAAAATCTTCTAGTTCATAAGTTTGCTTTGAAAAGCATGTGGTTTACCATCAGACATAATTGTATTACTTTCTTTGAAGCTATTTTTGCTCCTCTCAAATGAAGAATGCATAGCTTTCTTCCAAGATTTCAGTGACCTACCAGTCCTCATAGAAGCTGTAATCTCACCCCTGTGATACACACTGTGTGCCAACACAACCATTGTCACTGTGAAGATTTACAGAGTCTCTTACATTGAACTTCTGTACATTTGGTTTATTCTCCCTCTCTGGAGATATCCTTGCAGCTTTGATGGAAATTAATGTCCTAGGGTTGGGATCCAAACTTAGTCATACTAGAAGATCCATTTACATCAATAGGAGAAATAATAGCCATGATCAACTTAAGACCCATTAATATCATTGGGTTTAATCTAACTATAATTTAGCTCACGGTCAGTAATTTCATCCAAACTGGAACACAGAGTAAGTAAGCTTGAAAAAAAAAACAATCCTTGCCTTACACAAAAAGTCAACTCCTGCCCTTCTTAACCCAGTCAAAAAACAAACCACTCCTTCTATCTGGCAGCTGAATTAAATATCTAGTATTTGGGGTGCTTTGGGGTGCACTAGAGTGGTAACCCAAATAATTAAACACATAAATATGTTAAAATCCTTTCTGTGCTTTCTATTCACACTTAGAACTATGTTTTCTACTCTCTCTCACCAGCCCAGTTCATGGTTGATTTCCCCTAGTGTCTGAGTCTGTTGTAGTTTCTGTAATTAATTTGACATCTTGAAGACAAGTCCAAGCTACTTACACTATTTTCTTTTAATGGTATGATAGATGTCCTGCTGTTGCATTATTTGGCAGATTTAAGCTTTTGCTAAAGACTTTATCGAGCTTGGAAAATAATATTGTTTCTCTTGGAATACACATACTCATGAAATATACAACATTTTTTTCAAATAGAAGCCACAATAAACTAATTCATTTACAATCTCATCATTGTGGTTAAATTTTTATTTTTACAATTTTGTATAGGTCATAATTTTTTCCATGCAAATGTTTATAGTAGCATATATAAAAGTAATGGAATGCAAAAAGGTACTTGGATTCTTATATGAGCTGCAATTTTTGCTTTTAAAATGTTTTACTCCACTTAAACAATGCAGATTTTGTAAAAACAAGCCTGTGTACTGCCTTTCCTTTAGTAAGCACAGAACAGTTTATATATTTATTTTGTATTGTATTGTATTTTATTGTGTTGTAAGCCACCCCGAGGCTTCGGCAAGGGGCGGCATAGAAATGTTCTAATAAATAAATAAATAAATAAATATAGGGCTTCTAGTGATCTCCAGCCTATGGTAGACACAGAGCCAAATTCTGGCCCAGCTAAATTTAGTAGTGAAACTCACAGTAGCAGCAGGCTTGATTTTCCCTAGAAAGTTCTTGGAGCTCTAAGTTTACCTCTTTGTATTGATCACATTAATACATAAAATACAGTCCCTTTACCTCAACCTCACCTACCTGGTTAAGGTTTCTGGATCGCAATTGATATGAAAAGCCACAAAAGGAAGGATTCCTCTTCTATGCAATTTTTAAAAGGTGTGCTACTCCCATCAGGGTCTAAACCAGGACATAGAGATTCAGGCCTATGAGCGCTGTTTGGCTTCCTGGATATCCCCAGATGGCCACATAGCCTTCTTATGGTCCTGCCTTTCCTACAGTTTTGCAGTTTTGTGGCTACTATGCAGGATTTCCCCCATTCTAAAAGGTTGAAATATCTCTGATGCAGCTTAGTTTCCAACCTACTATTACTTTAGCCTGTTGCTTAATCAGCCTCCATCCATTCTTCTCTTCTTGCCACTGTGTCTGTCCTTCCTCACCTTAAATTATGGGATTTCTTGCTCACATTAACCTCTTCTTGCTTCCATACACTGATTCTAAAAGCCCATCTTCCCTTTTTCTTTCTCCCTGAGGTTCCTACTTTTCAGTTCATTGTCTATGATCTGGGTCACATGTGCGGCCAAATTTAGAAACCTTTTTGTTTGTTTGTTTATTCCTCCACCATTCTATGCTTCCTGTACCACGTAGTCTGACGCAGAGTTCAGGTGAATTCCTAAGGTTGCATGTTTTGTGAAATTTTGCTCATTTCTAATATAGTATTGCCCAACAGTAGATTTTGAATTTTTCCTCCCCTCATGGACAAATGCAACTTTTTAAAAATTTTTTTAATAAGATAGGTATCTTCTCCTGGTGATTCCTATGACCATTTCCCACAACCCAGTCCCCAAATTTAAGAAAAACAGAAGTATGAAGGGCCACTGACATAAAACTTGCAGTAATTGCTCAAGAGGAGTGCATTGGCTTAGTTTGGATGGTAATGATTGTTTAATGGAGACTGTTTATTTATCTATTTAATATCTGTACAGTCCATTAACCAGGACAGGCTCTCTGACTTGACATTAGGAGAATTTGGAATGCAACCTAATAAATGCATAGATACAACCACTGGTAACCTTACCTTGAGAATAAGTGTGGGAGTGAGCAGGGCACATACATCTAATGAAAAGGAAAAAGGGAAATAAATGATTTTGTTTAAGCACTGGGAAATCAGGTAACAACTCTATAGAGAACTTAATTTCAGAAGTGCATCCTGCCATCTAGTGTCTGAAATAAGGTATTACAATACTTATTCAAACGCAGTTATTAAGTTCTGTTTAAAAATGCAGCTGTAATGCTCCGATTTAATTTGAATACAATTTAAATGAGAAAAAGGGGAGAAACATCACATGTCAACTATAAATAAATATTCCTTACCTTATTGGACAAATGTATTTTCACCCAGCACCCTTTTACTTTTTGATTCTTAAATTTAGCAGTTAAGAAATCATTCTGTTCATTGGATACACTGTTTCCAAGCCTCAGGGATGGTTTCAAAGTTATTTTAGATATGTTCCAAATCCTCTTCATTGGTTTCTTTTGAAGCTACTTTTGAGTAATCATACTGACAATTTAGCATGAGTTACATTCTAGCAGTTAAAATGTGCTGAAGGAGAGCTTTGTGAATACCCTGTGTTAACAGAAAGATGAAGAGGTAGGTCCCAGATCAAATGAAGCCAGAATTTTCCATGGGAGGAAAAATAACAAAACTGGGGCTGTCATACTTTGCACACATCATGAGAAGGCATGACTCACGGGAGAAGACACTCATGCTAGGGAAAGCTGAAGGCAGAAGAAAAGGAAGACCAAACATGAGATGGACTGACTCCATAAAGGAACCCACAGCCTTGCATTTATAACAGCTGAGTCGGGTTGTCCTGGACAGACACCCTGGAGGGCTTTCATTCAGAGGGTTGCTGTAGGTCAGAGATGACTTGACGGCGCATAACAACAATGACAACAACAAATTAAAATGTAGGTTGCGTTTCTGCAACAAGATCTATGTGGGTCGTCTCTAGAGAGAGCACGGATTTGGGTGATGTTAAATGGAGCAGTCTACTGCAAGTATATTACATCTGTGCTCAAAGAGCTATTCGGGCTGTCACTATGTCACAGGGCCAGGTTCAAGGTGATATACAAGACCCTAAACAACTTGGGACAAAGGCACTTGAGGGAGCAGCCCACTAGTTTGAGATTATAGGTCAGGGCCTTTTGGTTGATACACTTGGACGTACATCTGATGACAAACAGGGAGCACCATTTTGGTTGTGGTGCCTCACACTCTCTCTGTGTCTGCTCCTCTGGCATTATAACAGTCACCAGTCCTGATGGCATTCAGGCACCTGTTGAAAGCATCTTAAAACTCTTAACATATTAAGTTTAATGTTACAATCTACTTTCCCCTACTTTCTCTGAATAGTTTAAATAAGCAAGGTAATCCTCTTAAAAACATGGATCTGCTCCAGAAGTCAAAGTAAGAACTTTGTATGAATGTGTACAAGAGTTCACCTTGAAAAAGTATGTCTTTATACTTAACTACTACTAATTGCTTTCATTTTTCCTTCACTTAGAAGTTGTTTCTGCTGCATTTTATTGTCTTTGTTGTAGAATTTAAGGACTGCTTTTTAATACTGTATTTCATTAGAGAAATATTGTATTATCACCCAGTGAACATGCTTGTAGGTACTGTCAGAATCCCGGAATCTCAATTTCAGAAGAGGGAATAAAACTCGGGTTCGTGGGAAAGACCAAGTGTCCAGACCATCTGAGGCTTTATTGTATTTATCCCAAGGTTCCCGCGGTATTCACGATAATGCATGCATTACTGGGCAGGCAGAGGTGAACTCTGCTGCAAAGCTTCAATACCATTACAGGGCATTTATAGGTACACAGGTACAGGGCAATTGATGACAGAATGCAGAGATTACAATAAGATTCTGAGGTTATCACATACAGAACAGATAAAGAAATGTCAGTCAATCACACAGTAACAATGAGATTACAATATTTCTAATTGCCTGTATTGACACTTTAGTTCAGTAGCTTGAACCCATCTCCAGGTCTGCTTAGACATGTAAAATCAAGCTACTGAAACTATGCATGAACTCAAGACTCTTATCTACTCTAGACATTCTGAATTGGCCAAGGCATATGGAGCCTCTGGGCTATCAAAAGATACTTCCTTGTAAACTGAATTCCAACAATGACTATTTAATCATTGTGAAGGTATACAATGTAAATTTGGAGTAAATGGCCTGTCTACTGTAGCCTACAGCTAAAGGTGAGAGAAAGGAGCAGGGGAATGCCATTTTAAACAGTGACAGCTTGGTTTTGAGAAGGAGTACAGGATTTGATCCCACAATGCAAAAAAGCACACAGAAGTAATGCTTTTCAGACAGGATTTATCCAAATTTTCCCAACAGTACCAATGACAATCTAGTAAAGAAATATATACAAAGGCTACAGTTGTTTCTTATACTGGAAAAAAGCCCAAACTCAAGGTTCTGTGAGTTGCTACATACTCTCAACAAACATCAAAGTCCACTTCTGTGTTCTACAATCACACTTTCAAAATAAGCTGCTGTGTTTGCCCTTTCTCTTGTTGGGGAAATCCAGATAAAATTCTTGTAGAAAAGGTTGCTTATATGTGCCTTTGTGTTATAAAATAAAACCTGCTACATATCTGCACATCTTTTTCATAAAGTACCAGAACTCCAAGGCAGGCTTCTGTTTAATGTTGTTTCAAGTTGTTCCTTTAAGAGATGGCTATTACCTTTGGTTTTGAAAAGCCTTTGCAGAACAGGGCTCCCGAGGCTATTCTTGAGCTAAGAGCTAACAAAACTGATATGGCAGTCAGACAAGTTTTTCTAGTAGTATTGCAATCACCCTCATTTGCATGCCAAGACCCACAATAATCCCTGTGTCTCAGTTATCCTTATGTTAGTGTCCTGTGATCAATGCCATTGTGTTAAGTCTCTTCTGCAGATCTCTCACATTCCTTTGACTGTGTTCCCCTTATTTTGTCATCTCCTGATGAGCTGATATGTAACCCAGACCCTATAAAACACTCTGTGTGTTCTGGAAGCTTGTAGCTGGTCTCAACCTCTACTTATTAGCACTGTTATAAGTATGGTTTCTCTGCAGAGGGTACCTGAGGGCTCAATCTGATAAACTGCTGAGGTTCGTAATGAAATCCATCTCCCTGTGAATCTGAACATATGTTCTCCCTGCTGGTATTTTGAGATTCCCTGACACTTTCCACAACAAATAGTACTGAGCAAGCTAGGTTACTGAATTCCAAACATCAAAATACACCTATTCTTAATTTTAGGACCTGTACATTTCTCAGAACTTCTCCCTTCAGAAAAGATTAATGCATTTGTTTTAATTAAAAATGTTCCAAAGGGCTGTTTCTCAAGCTAATCAGAATGCTGTGGGAAGTAATTTAATTTCTTGGTAGCTCCCAGGCTCAGTATCAGCATGTAGAGAATGGAGAAAGGCACTTACGATGCCTGCTGCAGTTGTGTCAGCAAATGAACCACCTTCTCCCGTCTTGCCATGGTTCCTACAGCAGCTACTGGGGAGTGCAAAGTATGATGGGAAAACAAAGTTAGGTTGGGGGAGGAGAGGAGGAGAGGCTGTGTAAATACAGAAAGAGAAAAGAGAGATTGACCAGTCCTCTGGTAGTACAGTTTATTGCAACAGCTCTTCAAAGAGTATCGGATTACCAGGAAAATATATTTGAAGCTTCTTTATACTGCTAGACTCTGGGGTCCTCTCATGCTCCTGACTGGTGGGAGATTCTGGACAAATAAAAGTATTTTTTTACACTGCACATGAACCAAGAAATTCACTATAAGGTTATAGTGGCAGCCACCCATTTGGATAGCTGTAAAGTGGGATTTAACAAAGCCATGGATGATAAAGCTCTGTCTGGGTATTGGACCTGATGACTATTTTCTGTCTTCAGTATCAGAAGTAGTATGCCTCTGGTAGTATGGTACACCAGTATGTACACCAATTGTTAAAGAATATACGCACAAGGGTGCCAATGTGGTGTAGCGGTTAAGAGCATGGGACTGGGACTCAGACGAGCTGGATTCTAGTTCCTGCTTGGCCATTGACCTTACTTGGTAAACAGGAACACCTACTGCAAGAAAATTTGGGCTTTGATACACTCTCTGTTGCTGTGATCAGTAAACTAATTTCACAGGAGCTGTCATTTCAATTATTAAAAGTATAGGGCAGTCTCACTCAACCTGGTGCCCTCCAGGTGCTTGAATCCCAGTCAGTCATCCAAAGCACCTGTAGGGCATCAGACTGGGAAAGCTGGTATACAGCCAGCATTAGATCTTCCTACTGATCTGTACATAGCAGAGTGCTAAATTACACACCTCACTACTCATGTTCTTGATCAAGACAAAGTTGCTGAAGAGCAGTAAGAATTTTGAGTGTCATTGAAACTGGTCAAGCTCTTAGGCTCTCAAACACATTGTCTGCATATACTGAAGTGTGGAAAGAGTTTGCTTTTTGGGATATGGAATGGACCAGATCAGAAGACCAGAGGGCTCAGACTGCCAGTTCCCTTTCTATCAGGGATTTGCAACATTCATTAAACTCAAGTCATTTACTTAAATTTAATCATTTACTAATTTAAGTTAGTACACAGATGTTGACTTTTCAAGATTGTCTGGAAGGTTACTTTGACAATAATTTCCTACTCTCATATGCCCTCTGTGCTTGCAAAGTCTCTGAAATGGGGAGGCTCATGTGCATCCACTTAAAGCACTGCAGCAATTTGTGTTGCCATACATTGTGTTGCCAGTGCACCCTGCATTTCATCTTGTAAGCCGTCCAGATACATGTAGTAATTACCCAAAACAAACAAGTCTGAATATGAAGCACAGTGGACAGGGAGGGATGAGCCTATGGCACTACCTGGATATGTAATAAGCTGCTGGCCCTAACCCCCCTCCCCCACCCAGCATGCCCATTTTCCTCTTTCTGGGGGCTGATTTCCAGCCTTGCAGAGGTAGCCAGCTCAATTCTTTCCATACAGGCTGTGAAAGGTGCAGTGGAGCCAGGCTTCCACATAATCCTATGCTAATGTCAGAAGGCCACAGGATTGTGCCCTTACTAGGTTAGGTGCAATTCCCAATATGAAATGACAAGTACATCTTTCACAAAGAAAGTATATAAATTCTCTACGGAAACATTCATTAACTGACGGAGCTCTAGCATTTTCAAAGGAAGGATATATTATGCTTCCTTGCATTAGAGTGAAATTGTAAGGTTATTTCCACCTCCAGAGGCATTAGGATCCCTTAATTGAAAAGTCATGGTTCCCCATAGGATTTTTTTGTGTGTGCGCAAAATATATGGTTTCCTCAACTCTTATTAAATCTGCTTCTTAATTATAAAATTAATTTAGTGAACTTTCAATTGAGTATTGCTTATATCCCATAATATATTTATGTAAAATCCAAAGTCAGGCTTCAATCTCTTGTGTAAACTATAGTCTGTCAGGCTATGGAGCTTCCCCACTCTCCCCCCACACATTTCCTAAAATCTGCTGTGGTGAGTCCCTCAACATGTCAGAACAGGTTTCAGGGCTATGGAGTAGGGACTTCAACACTCCATTGCACAAGCAGTTTCTCTTCTGAAACTGGTGGAATTATACCACTGGATGCAAGCATCAGGCACAAATCTAGAATGCTTTAAAAAAAATCATGCAGTGAACAAACTGAACAAATTTTGCACATAGGCTGGATGTGAAAAAAAATAATTTGGTCCTATATTGTATATCCCATATTTCCTTGTAGATCTATCCACACTACTACAAATACTGAGAAATGTATGCTTCCTGAGAGATGTTTACCATATTTCATCCAAAGCAAATTAAGCATATTAATTTACTCTGAATGAAGTAGAGTCCTCTAAATTATTGTTAACCACACAAAAAGGTTTGGCTTTGAAGTGACATATAGCTGAAATAATTAAAAAACATTCTGGTTCCACAAACTCTTGATATGCCTTGTCATGAGCCTCTAGACATTTCCTCAAATTACTGTGACAACTCAACAAATGAACACTAATTGAAATTCCATTTTTAATAATATACTCCCATTCTATCTTTACAATGCTTCTTACAAAATGTATACAAATACTGTTAAGAAATTGTTGCTTGTTTTATGTCCTTGAAAAGCATGTTACTCCTTTTATGTTTGCAAGAAAGATTCTCTGAGTCTTATTTAATAACACTTCCATCTCTATTTCAGTAATTATAGTTCAGGTTTTTTTATTTTTAAAAGAAAAGCCAAGTTTCCCCTTTTTATCTGGCTCAACAAAGTTTGCTGAGAATCCAAGGCTTTTGTTGAACCCAAGGAAAAGTCAAGGCCACATTTTTTTTGGTCAACACAGAAGCAACAGTCAGTGCTGGGGGGCATTATTTGCAGGGAGATAATGTCAACTGGGAATAAGTTGATAGGTTCTCCTGGCATTCCAGGAAGGCTCATTTCTTTTTCCTCTTTCCCCCAAAGCTTCCAGACCGTCCCTGGTTCCCTCCTCTGCGGGATGTCCCTCTGCTATTCTTGCCTTTGGCCCCACCACCGGGTCTCCGTTGCTGCCGCAGCGCTCTCTTGCCGCGCTGCCCGCGCTTCTTGCCCTTAGCTCCGGAGGCTGCCTCGGCCTCCTCCTCGCGGAGCTGTTTGTTGACGGCACGGGTCATGTCCAGAAGCGGCTTTTTGCTGCTCAGGCTCCGAACCAGCTCCAGCTGCCGCTTCTTCTCTCCTTCGAGATCTCCCAGCAGCGATGCAAAGCGACGCTTCTTTCCGCGAGAGGCGGTGGCGCTCTCGGGCGTCGGGGCCTCCTTAGGCAGGCGAGGTTGGAAGCGGCCGCGGGAGGCAGTGGAGACGCGGGCCAGGGCCTTGACGCGGGCCAGCTCAGCCCGGTCCTGGTGGCCGGTCGGGTGCAGCTCGCCAGCCGCCCCAGCGCGGTGGGCGCGCGCCAGGTTGCGCAGGCGGTTCAGCTCGTTGCGCGCCACCCTTTCGCGCTTCTCCTGGCGCCGCTTGGCGAACTGGTCCTCGAACGGGTCGGCCGAGTCCGGAACCAACAGGAGCCAGTCACGGGAGGGGTCCCCGCCGGCCCTGCGGTAGCCCCAGCGCCGCCGCCACTCCTTGGCCTCCTCGTCCCAGACCAAGGTGCCGCGCTTCTTCCGCGTCGGGCGGATTCCTTTGAGCCTAGCGAACTGCTCCCACTTGGTGAGCGGCCGGGCCTTGGGCAGCGGCTTCTCCCTGGGCAGGCGGGTCGAAGACTCCGGCAGCCGCGCCACCACCGGCCCGGCCACGCCCTCGGCGCGCTCCGACGGCAGTGCCCACAGCTGGGCCACCAGCAACTGGACGTTGTCGCGGGCCAAGGCGCGTAGCACGGCCTCGCGCTCGGAGGCGGCGGCTCCTTCCCGCGCGACGGCGCGCGGCGCAGGGTTCCTGTCCACCGCCAGCAGGTTGCCTACGTCGAACTCCAAGTCCAGTTCCTTGTGCACCGCCACGCTCCGCTGGGTCTCCGCGTCGCGCTCTTCGGCGCGCGCCAGCAAGTCCTCCACAGATAAGGCGGCCATCCCCGCGAGGGCCAAACCTATTCCTTCCTCCGTGTGCCAGCAGAGCACGAGTTTCTTTTTTCGCGTCGGCTCCGAGAAAGGTCGAAAGGATTACTTCCGCCGGCGCCGGCGGACAAGAACCGGATGTTCTTTTCGTAAGCTCGGGGCGAGACAGAAGTGCAAAGAAACGACAACTCCCAACATGCAATGTTCTCGAAGGCTGCGTGATTGGAGCTCTGGATACAGGGAGATGTAGTCTTCAAGGCGTTGGGAAGGGGCCTGAGAGATGGGCCTCCACGAGGAATACTGAAGTTTGAAATGTAAACGATGGATTTGGTAGCCCACGCAGTTTTCTTTTTTAGGACACAAGAAAGAGATTGGAAAAATAAACGGGCTCCGTGGATCCATTCTGTGGATTGATCGCTGCTGTGTCATGTCAGGCCGTGTCGTGGCTTAGCACGTCATTGACACTTGGAATTTTGGGGGTTGTAGTTCCTGGCGCTGAAAAACCTCAAAAACCGGGGTGGGATTTCAGATTAGTCCACATGTTGGAGGCAAAGGGGCGGGGGAGGTGCTTACCGGCACAGTCTTTCTAGATGTGGTGTTAGTAAATCCAAACAGATACACTAATGGGAGAATTGTGTGCTAGCATTTATAAACACTGAAACTGGGCAGTGATTAACTATAGAAAGCTAAGTAACATACGAGTTCTTTTAATTCATACATTAAACGTGACTACACTTCATTAAATTTGTTCTTCATTTTAAAATTTAAATTCCTTCGAATCAGGTTTTTATTTTTATTCTTAATATATTCATGGCAGAGTTAGTACTTCCAATTAGCTCTAAATATACTGAAAAAGAAATTTTTGCACGTGAAAGTGCATTGTTGCTGCTCAAGATTTCATTTTTAAAAGGTTCTCAAAAAGACTTTTTCAATTTAGATCTGTTTTGAAACAATACTGTTAGCTCAAGATGGTACTGCCATTTGATAACTTGCATTTCTTCTGGCTTGAAAACATGATGTTTTCAGTCAGAAAAAAATGCAACTCATTTCTCATGGGGCCTTTATAGTTAAAGCAGTGTGAGGGGTAGCACTGTAATTAAATCCATGCTGTACAGTTATGGTTTGTAGTATGTCATTACCACAGTTTTGCTTGTGCAATATGCCACATGCATTTTCACAGTATAAACTTATACCATGTTTACTTATATGTAAGCACTTAGATGAGGAAACTACGCCTTCCTAGCAGTGGCAAGCCAAGATCAGCTGTTCCACACAAGTTATATTGTATCAAGCACCAAACAAAAAGGTTTACATGCAGAGAAAGGAAGGTTCAAGCAGAACAGTCTAGGAAGTGCCCACAGTTAGTGCTCTCTCTCCATGTTCAGAGATGCACACAGAGCCAGGATCTAACACACACTGGGTGCTCAGAGAAAGATATTTAATCTTTTTGAAGGCAATAACACACTTCTTTTTCCTCTCCCATTCAACTCTCCATTTTTCTCTCCCTTTCTGAATGTATGTTCCCTAGATGTCTGTCTGTCTGTCTGTCTGTCACCCTCTGCCCCTTAAGCTTTATTCCCATCTAGACAGCAATTTTCAGGGCAGAGGTTCCACAGCATGCATTGAGAAAGGGGGGGCTGATGTTTTCTTCTGCAGTGAGATCCCCTCTAATTTCTTCTCCATTGAAATTAGGGTTGCAGGGGTAAAAAAGCTCTTAGTGGCTTCTGTGGAGGTTTGTGCTCCTGCTTCATAAGTGGGTACAATGGGGACGAGATTTGGTGAAGTCTTGTGAAATTTGTGAAATCCTGTGGGATGTGGAGAGGCCAATATAAGGCCTCTCCCATATGTCCTGGCTTTAGACTGCAGGTGGTTGCTCCTGGCTAGGTGCTGCCCACAATCTAAATCAGCCAGGGCCTTGAGAACAATGGCAGATTTGGGCACCTGGGAAACAGATCTGGGCTTTGGGTTCTGTCAATCCAGGCCTAGAAACCCCTCAGTTTCAAGTATACATAAAGAGGTGGAAAATGCTTTCCCCCTCTTCACTCCATCTCCCAAGCAGCCATAGCATGAACACTGTCACAAGTATACCAGTTTGTGCTAAGCAGAAACAGGAGGAGAGGAGCTATGGAAAAGTACTCCAAAACATCATTTGAAAGGATTAGGAGGGAAGAAGGGGGAGATGAACATCTAGAATGAATGATTTGAATGATTGCATTTCCTTCAGTCCAATTTACTCAAGCTGTGAAAACCAGTCCTGACTAAAGCACATTATGTTTTTGCTGATTAGTGAAATTGGCATGGGAGCAAATTGTGGATATTCAGAAGTCATAGGAGATGGTCTTACTCACACTACAGGATACTACAATGGGAAAATTACCTAGTATGAATCCCTTATTTTCTAAATTAAGCTTCTGCATAAGCATCTGTCTAAAGACTCTAAACAGAAAAGAATAATGGATACTATCATGGCTCTTATTGTTACCTGATCACAGCATCAGAGGCAGATACATTATTGATCGTTGTTTATAATCTATATAAACTCATCTATCACACAGTGCCAGAAAGCAGAATTGCAAGTGATTCTGATTAAAAATGGACTGGGCCTTCTGAGAAATTCTCCATTGATTCCAACATGACCTGGAACTGCCTTTCACTTTAGCAGAGGAACTATATTTCAAAATGTTCCCATATGCAATCTTAATTGCATTTTTTCATTTGAAGCCATGTGTTATACAATACACTCGCATTATGAGCATTCCTTTATATTTGTGGTTCCATTCAGATATATATGTGAGGTATTCCCAAAGCCAACATGTGGTAAAAGTAGAACTGAATTTGGTGCCCTTTAGACATATCTTGAGCTGTGAAGGGCTCATCATGTATGAGTCAGTTCCAAAAAGGTATGTCCTGTATGTAGCAGGTGCCAGATTCAGCCTTTCCATTCCATAGTTACAAGGAACTGTCCGAAAATCTCAGAACTGCAGAAGTGGGAGAATGTGTGTTCGGATTCACTGGAAGATGCTACACTCAGTTTCAACAGTTTATTGGTAGGACACCCAGGCAACCCTCTCTGACAGAGAAAAACAATTGCACTGTTGGGCAGCCAGCATACTCAACTGTATACCCAACTGGCTACAAGCTTTCCAAAGCATATGCAGAGTTTTTATAAGTTGTGGGTCACATACATAGTTTCAGGATGATGATGAGATATAAATGAGTAAATTTCTAGAGGACAATGTGAGTACAAATAGAACAATGTAAGGCTAACATCAGAAAAGATGTTGCAAAAGTTACAATGATATAGAGTGATTTAGTGACTGATGACCAGGTAAACAGTTGAGAGATATGAATCATAACTGGTCCAGAGGAAGTTGATTACATTAGCACAAGGGAATCCATTCAGCATTGCTCCTTGGAGCCAGAGAGCTTGCAGAAAACTTCTGTTTTGCTTTTGGCAGGCACAGTAACTGAGGAATGTATCGAGTTGTCCTGAGTGGATTATGGACTCTCACCTATTGATACTTTGTATGGAGTAGCCCCTGGTTCTTGTATGAGTGTCTCTGGAGGAGAATGCATGAATAATGGAGCTTCTGGGGCTGCCTGCTTTCCCAGGCATATGGAGCCAGGCAAAAGTTCTAGTCCCTTTGAGTGGAGAGGAGTAAGGGCACTGCTGCCAGATTTTATATTTGAAGGGACACGTAAAAGCATATCTTTTTATTTGAGGAGTTATTTGACCTTTCCCAACAGAACCCATGCTGTGGAGCAGAGATAGGCCAATCTTGTTGGTTTTACCCATGCAATAACACACCTTCAGTGAGTGTAACCCAAGACACTGGTTCCTGCCCACATGCTGCATCATTCAGTCAGTCCCCTGAATGATGCATCTTCAGTCAACCCACTGAAGAGCGATGGAGCATCTTGTAGTATTTGAAAGACTAACATGTTTATTATAGCCGAAGCTTTTGTGTACCACAGTCAATTTCATCAGACGAATAGAGGAACAGCTCCAATGTATCTGGAAATACATCTGAAGGGCATTTTTGGGATGACTTGAAGTGGGCTCAGGATGACCCAGATGATACTTCAGGGCTTATTTCAAGTAATATGTCTTTGCTCATTAAAGCAAATGATATTCTTTTATAGTGGTATACCATATTTCTCTAGTGACAGTAAAGTATGCCACATTTCACCACAGAATAAGTAAACACGCTTTACTATTATATTTAACAGGATGCAGCTCAAGAAATAATAGGTACCTTCCCAACATCCTCTCTCCAATTTGTTTAATTGAAAGTACTTCATTTTCATACACTGAGCAGTCTGTTCCCAATTTCAATTAAGCACTTTAAGAATTTCCAGAATGATTTCATAACCTATTGCATATTTATGTGCATGATTCAGCTGGTAGTAGAGCTAAATAGCTAAAGTACTCATTGAAAGCCGTAGATTTTCATGGATATGGGTTCAAATCAAGTTCACTGAAGTTTTTCTGTATGTTTGTCCAATATATCATCAAGCTAGAGGCAGTTTTGCTGAATTTACTTTTCTCAAAAATATAGAAGACTTACAGCATCTGTTCCTATAGTCTCCAAAAACAATATATGCCTATTTCATCCAGATAAGTGGAGTGAGAGAGAAACATTTTTACAAAACAGGGTGTGTCTGATAGAAGAAAATTAAGACATGAAGTAACAGAAAGTTGATACCTGTTAAATTTTGGGCCATTCCCCTCCTTCTGCTTGTTTTCTTTTTGTGTCAGCTTCTCAATGGTCCTTTGTTCATGGACAGATTAGAAAAAGGGTGTGATAAGAAAACTGCATGCAGAGTACAGTACTATAGGACAGAGGCACCAGAGACAATATTATCAAAATGCTTTTTTCATAGATACGATTTCACTGAGTTAACCAAACAGTATGTACAATATTTGCAATGTGACCTCTATCTTATACTCTCAGCTTTGGAAAACAAAAGACAATACGTGAGAAACCAGATGTACACAGGGGACAGAAAGGCCCCAGTGTTCACATATCCTGACTCTGACACGGAGAACACAGGCTGGGCCGCACTCTGGAATGTTGACAAGCTGGAGGTAGGCCTGCAAAGAATTTTTCAGTTCTGAAGTGCA